ATGCACCACATTATGATGTTTTGGTCAACAACAGATGGACCCCTATATGACGGTGGTCCAATAAAATGATATATTTTTACTATATCTTTTCTATGATTAAATGTTTAAATACACAAGTATTTACCATTGTGTTATAATTACCCACAGTATTCAGTACAGTAACATGCAATACAGATTAGTAGACTAAAAGCAATAGGCTATTCATAGCACGACTGTATCACACGATGTTACAGAATCATGCATGGATATAAGACCCAGTCAAAGTGTGAGAGAGACCAATGGATTTCAATGTAACAAAGTGTGAAAAGTTCACTGATGTCATTTCAGATTCCACACTGCAACTAACCCTTACAAAAATCACTCCTTGTTTTGTGCAGTACCCAAGAATGCCCACAATGATCTGACAAGACTATTGAAATACTCTGCCTGCCCTTTTCCAGCTATCTGTGTGAGACTGGATTTTCTTCATTATTCAACCAAAACATCACAATAGTTTGAATGGAGATGTGAAAATCCAGCTGTCTTTTATTAAGACACTAAAAAGCTCTGCAAACATAAAGCCATTCTTCGCATTAATCTTTTGAAACAAAAGTATTTTTAAAATGCTACTTATAACCAGGCATGATGGCTCACGCCTATAATCCCAGCACTTTGGGAGGCAGAGGCGAAAGGACTGCCTGAGTCCAGGGGTTCCAGACCATCCTGGGAAACGTGGTGAGACCTCATCTCTACAATAAATCAAAAAATTAGCCAGGCGTCGTGGTGCACGCCTGTAATTCCAGCTACTCGGAAGGCTGAGGCGGAAGGATCACCAGCAGGTCGAGGTTGCAGTGGGTCAAGGTTGCAGTGGCCATGAGCGTGCCACTGCACTTCAGCCTGGGCAACAGAGTGAGACTCCAACTCAAAAAAAAAAATGCTATTTTATATGAACTATGTTAACCATAATGTAAGTTAGAAACATTACTGACCATGCACAGTGGCTCAAGTCTGGAATCCCAGCACTTTGGGAGGCCAAGGCAAGAGGACTGCCTGAGCTCAGAGTTTCAAGACCAGCCTGGGCAACTTGGTGAGACCTCACCCCTACAATAAATAAAAAAATAAGCTGGGTGTGGTAGTGTGAGCCTATAGTTCCAGCTACTTGGAAGGCTGAGGCAGAAGGAACACCTGAGCCCAGCAGGTGGAGGCTGCGGTGGCCTTGAGTGTGCCACTGCACTCCAGCCTGGGCAACAGAGTAAGACTCTGACTAAAAAAAAAAAAAAGAAACATTACTTATGTTAATTTGCATTAATATAAAGTTAATGTAAGTTTTATAATGTATGTTTAAAATATTACTTATGCTGAGTGCAGTGGTTCACACCTATAATCCCAGCATTTTGGGAGGCTGAGGTGAGAGGCTTGCCTGAGTCCAGGAGTTCAAGACCAGCCTGGTCAACTTGGCAAGACCTCATCTCTACAATAAATCAAAAAATTAGCCAGGTAAGGTGGCACATGCCTGTGGTTCAAGCTACTTGGAAGGTTGTGGGGGAAGGATCACCCGAGCCCAGCAGGTCAAGGTTGTGATGGCTGTACTCCAGGCTTGGTAACAGAGTGAGACTCTGACTCAAAAAAAAAAAAAAAATTATGTTAGTAGTGGGCTTATTATTTCTAAATGAATACTGCAGTTTCTAATATAAATATTGAGATATATATCCCACATTTTTAAAAATTTGAAAATCCCAAAGAGTTTTCTGAAGTGAACAAAGGAGGTCTGAGTCCAAAAAGTCTGAGAACTGCTGGTCTAGAGAGGCACTAGTGCCCAGGAGGACATAGAGAGAGAGCCCTGAAGGACAACATCCGTGTATTTCAGGGCCTAAGAGAAATTAGCACTGTATTTGTTCTGAATTCTGCTGGAAGAGAGGGCGAAAGTAAAAAGCATTAAAGAAAAACCTTTTCTCTGCATTTCACTGACAGACCAAAGCACCCCATCCCAGGCTAAAATACAGGGAGACTATGATCAGACAATTCCAAGTTCATAGAAAGCATCTGGGAAAGCTGAGCCCAATTCCAAATCATGAGTATCAGTTCCAGAAATGAAGGCTTTATCTAGACACAGGTTTTAGCAAGTGAAAACTTTCTATTCACATACTCATTTTTGTATTTAATTATGTATTTCTTCTCTGTTCCCTTCTTCTTTCCCTTTTCCTCTACCCACCCTTTCAATGTCGGTATTCCTCTGAGTTCAGGCTTCTCATTCTGGCACATAGGAAGAATCAACAAGTGGGAGCTGTAATGATTACTACACTCTCTCCCAGAGCAGTCTTTTCCATCCCATGACTTAAACCACCTCCAAAATTCTCAACGCTATCATCACCTAGACCCCCGTTGTGAACACCAGACTACAAAACAACCTCCGGGGCCTTTCTATCTGGAAGTGCTGCTGCGCCACCACTCATTTGGTCACTAAAGTCAGAAACCTGGGATCATTCTACATTGCTCTTGTACCACTCTCTTACATTACTCTGCCACCAGGTTTTGTCAATACTACCATCTTTAACATTTCTCTAAACTCTCTCTACCATTTTATCAGTCACGAAACCTTCATCACTTCCAGCCTGTACCACATAATAGTTTTCTCCTGGGCTCCCTGCCGCTAGTGTTAAAATCCTATTAAACCCTCACACCGACACTATAGTAATCTCAAACCCAAACTGATGTTATTTTTCTGCTAATTATCTTTCTGTGGTTTTCCTGGAACATCCTCTTCAAATGATTTTACTTATGAATCCCCAAAATAATGGGGGTTTTTTTGTTTTTTTGAGTTGGAGTCTCACTGTCGCCCAGACTGGAATGCAGTGGCCGCTCCCCGCCACCGCAGCCTCAACCTGCTGGGCTCTGGCGATCCTTCCGCCTCAGCCTTCCAAGTAACTGGAACTATAGGCGCACGCTACCACGCCCGGCTAATTTTTTTTTTTTATTTATTGTAGAGATGAGATCTCGCCAAGTTGCCCAGGCGGGTCTCGAACCCACGGGCTCAGGCAATCCACTCACCTCAGCCTCCCAAAGGCACAGGATTACAGGCTGAGCCACCGAGCCCGGCGCAAAATAACGTTTAAAACCACATGTTTCTTAGAGATATTCAAGTTGACATCTAAAATTGTTTTTATCTCCCGCATCTTGGGAGGCTGAGGTGAGTGGATTGCCTGAGCCCGCGGGTTCGAGACCCACCTGGGCAACTTGGCGAGACCGCATCTTTTCAATAAACCAAAAATAATAATAATAATAATAATAAATTGTTTTTATCACAAGTTTAAACAAGTGTGTGTTTTTGTTAAGAGGTAGAAAATGTTAAACATTTTATAAAAAGAAATAAGCTGAGGATTAACTGTAACTGGAATTAACATTTCATGACCCTATTTGATAAGACGGGTTTTAACTATCTTACTGAATATCATACACTTAAACTAAAATAAATCTCTTAAAATTTGTATGCAAGTTTTATCCAAAATATCTTTAAAAACTCCATGGTTCAAAAAAACCCCAAAAAACCACTCCAGTTACATTTAACTGTTGTGTTCTTCTGAATTCAGAGTATCCCAACAAGGAACATGCTTTACTCTAACAGGAATGTGTGTTACACAGGAAGCCTCTGTGTTTGGGAGGTAACCTAAATCACTAAAGGAGGCTTACTTGATGTCACTATTTCCACAACATTCCTTGTTTAGTATCTGAGGAAGTTTTTACACTTGCCTCAATACATCATAGTATACTTTGGGAAGTGTGAGGAATCTCCCCCATCTTTTTTTTTTTCTTTAAAGTGCAGTTTTAGAAAAGAGTTCATTGGGAAACTGAGGATCTGAAAACGTATTCATATAAAGCTGTATGTGCAGGAGTATTCCTTGGAAGTCTTGGGCCCTGACTACCCCAGCTTGAAAACCATTGCTCCGGCTATAGTTCTGACAGCAAAATATCCGAGGCCCTTCGTGATCTAATCCCTATTAACTTCCCTCTGCCCATTTGTCACTGGATAGCACCCCCCAACCCAGCTCTGGTCTGCCAAACTGCTTCCAGTTATCTTTTTAGGCCGTACTGTATCTTCCCTAAAGCCACTTCTTAACTGGAATGTCCTCCCACCTCTTTATTACCAGAAAACACTTACTTTTTCAAGACTAGGTTCAGTCCAATCGATAAGTAGCTGGTGACTTTCTGGGCACCAAGGGGTAGTTTAACGCAAACAGTGTCTTCGTATTTATTGCAAGAAATGGAAGGATGGGATGGAACACTGTCCCAAGAGTCGCTCGGATGCTTGTTGATTGGCTAAATCAACAGGTGCTGAAGTTAAGGAAGCTGTGATTTGGAGTATCTGAGAAAGCAGAGATGATTCCATAAGGAAAGGATTACAACATTTCCTAGCTTCAGAATGGGAATACTGCAGTTTTGCAAGCAAAACCGTAGACTCAAAACTCCGCGAAAACATGCTTGTCTTATGCGCTCAACGCCTTTGACAGTATTCTGACTCACTACATAGTTGTCGATGTTTATTTAAAAATTGTTTACAGAATGAAAAAACGAAGGTCTGGATGGATAAAGAAGTTACATTCACAGGATCTCAGAATCTGTACAGTGTAGCAAAGTATTTCTCCAGATGCTGAGGGTGGGCAAGTAAAAAAAAAAAAAAGTAGGTATCCATGTTAAATTCGGCCCTGAAACCTAAAGAAGCTTGTGCTCATACCCAGACGAGGATTTCAACCTCAGTGCGGCCGGACAGACGAGGTAGGCGGCCAGCACGAGGGGATGCCGCAGGGTTCGTGCACCCCGAGGCGAGGCCGACTGAGTTCACAGGGCGTGGCGGAGGGGAGAAGGGCTCGGAAGAGGTGTCAAGCCCCGGCCGGGTAGGAGGCCGCGACCCCCACTTCACCCCGGGGTGGAGAGGAGGCGGCCGGAAGCGGGGCTGGGGGCCCGCGCGAGAGGACGCGGCCCGAGGGAGGGTCGGGGGGGCATCCCGGCTCCGCAGCCACACTCACCTAGGGGGCTGAGCTTCGCCCGGGCTCGGCGCCGGCTCCGCGCGGCTTCCCTCCTCGGCCTGCTAGGCTAGCGGGCGGCCTCAGGCGCCCCTAGCAACCACGCACGGCCACGCGACCCGCGCGCTCAGCCGCCAGCGCCGCTGTCGCCGGCCACGCACTGCGCCTGCCCCCGGCACACAGACCGAAGGCCTGGAAGGAGCGGGCGGGAGGCAAGCGCGGGGAATCTCGGGGGCTGTGAGGGCGGGCCGTCAGCGCCTGCGCGCGCAGTGCCTGCCGCGCGGTGGAACCGGCGAGCGGAATCTTGGGAGATGTAGTCCCGAGGTTAAAGCGCGGAAAGAGTCTGCTCTGGGAATCCAGGACTCTCTTGTCTACCCTGATTCCACCTAAACCCCGGCGGAGTGTTTTCTTTAATATTATTGTTTTTTAGAGACAGGGATTTGCTCAGTTGCCCAGGCTGAAGCACAGTGGCACTATCACAGATCACTATAATCCCCAACTCCAGGGCTCTAGTGATCCTCCCGCCTCAGACTCCTGAGTAGTTGGGTCTACACGAGCGCGCCACCACGCCAGGCTAGCTTTTACAAATGTTTGGTAGGGACAAGGTCTTACTATGTTTCCCAGGCTGATCTTTAACACCTGGCCTCAAGCGATCCTCCCACCTCGGCCTCATCTCTGAAATTACAGGCTTGAGCCATCTTGCCAGGCTTGGACTCTTCCTTTGGCCGCACCTCAACTCGAAATCAAAGAGTCTGGGCTCTATTAAATAATTTCCAGTAAAAAAAAAAACACAAAAAAACCTTGAGTTTGATTCCAGGATAGGGGACATCGCCCCATCCACTAGGCTCCTCTCTATCCCATCTTCCCCTAACCCCAACCGGCCCATCAGGGAAAAATTACAACCACCTGCTTTATGGACTTCAAGTGTGAACTTTAGGAAATACTCAATTCACTGTCACCCAGGTAAGACAAATCGTGCTCCTGTTTCAGATGTTCCTGGACCTGATGGATTTGGGGAATTGCTGTAAGCTACAGAAATGACTGGGACAAAGATGAAACTAATCTGATGAAAACAATCTGGTCCAGAGCAAGAATCTCGATAAATAATTTATTTGGGCAACAGTCGTTGATACATGCTAAAACTATTAGATGATTGATGGAGGAATTTTACACTGGATGTCTACCATCACCAATATGTACTAATCATTCTTAGATCATGAAACATGAGACATCTATGCATTATGTCTCCTGATGTGATGCAATTTCAATTACACAGCAATATTTATAAAATACAGTGTAAAGTTGAGTGAAAAAAAACATTAAGAATAAGCGGTGGTTTATGCCTGTAATCCCAGCACTTTGGGAGGCTGAGGCGAGAGGATTGCCTTAGCCCAGGGGTTCCAGATCAGCCTGGGCAACTTGAGAAGACCTTGTCTCTACAATAAATCAAAAAATTAGCGGGACACGGTGGCACGTACCTAGAGTTCCAGCTACTTGGAAGGCTTGAGGCAGAAGGATTGCCTGAGCCCAGCAGGCCAAGGCTGCGGTAGCCATGAGAGTGCCACTGCACTTCAGCCTGGGTGACAGAGTGAGACTTCTACTCAAAAAAAAAAAAAAAAGAAAGAAAGAAAAGAAAAAGGCAATTGCCTTACTATTTTCTGGTGTGGCCATTTGCTCTTTGAGCTATGGCCAGGACATGTTTCCTGGCTTTGGCCCCCTCCCCTACCTTGGGGAGGTGAATCTCCTTTCACTCTCTCTCTCTCTCTAATTTACTTTCTGAATAAACTATATTTTCTAATCTAAAAAAAAAGAGCAAGCAATGAAAAAAGTGACATAATTTTTTTAAATGCTGAATGGATATAATAAAGCACTGGTTTGAGTCATCTTGCCAGGCTTGGACTGGCTGTAACTTCCAGTTTACAGTAAATAAAGGAAACAATTGAATAACACTACAAGGAAGCAATCAGACAAATCTAGAATGTGGGCCAATGTACAGGATGACTGACCTTTTCCTCCAATAATTTCAGGATATAAAAATGGGGAAAGATGTTTTAGATTATTAGAGACTTAAGAGACAAAATCAAATGCACCTGAGCGCACCTTGTTTGGATCCTGATTCAAACTGCAAAGTGACATTTTTGAGATTGGGAAATAAAAACAAAATCCTAAGCCCCTCAACCAAATGAACATTCTCTTGGCTAAGGGGACCTCAAAACAACCTTAAAAACTGAGTTCTGGACGGACTCGGTGGCTCAGCCTGTAATCCCAGCATTTTTGGAGGCCAAGGCAAGTGGATTGCCTTAGCCCAGAGGCTAGAGACCAGTCCAGGCAACTTGATAAGACCTCATCTCTACAATTAAAAAAAAAAAAAATTTAGTTGGGCGCGATAGCATATGCCTGTAGTTCTGGCTACTTGGAAGGCTGAGGCGGAAGGATCACCAGAGCCCAGCAGGTCGATGCTAGGGTGGACATGAGCATGCACTGCACTGCAGTCTGGGCAACGGAGTGAGACTCCAACTCAAAAAAAACAAACAACAACAAAAAAAACTGAGTTCGCAGCCGTGACAGGATGGGAGGTCAGACATACATCAGTATGCCTATGCCCCTTCCTCATCAACTTTTAACCAGAATTCTTTCTTAAGGAGCAAGCAGAAACCAGCTCTAGAAAACAAGGGAGGACACATTTCTTTATTGCCTTTAGCCAATTGTCTGAGACTGTCATGGGACACCCTCTTCCTCTTTGCAGTCTCAAAGTGACAGTTTACCAGTTTCACGATGCATCTCCAGACTGGTTCCTTGGCCCACTTGCAGATAATGCACAGTGGTGAGGGTTTTTGTGTTCTCAGCTTCACCTTTTTATACAAAAGGCCAAAAATGCCGCCCTCAGATCATGGTACCACCATTTTTTGAGCATGCAACCCATGAAGAACCATGAAGCCCAATTATGTATGTGTTTCTCCTTTCATAAATATTCAGACTCCTCCTATAGCTAATTAAATAAGTATATTTAGCCACCCTGCTCTTCATAAATTCCTGCGCCCTCAACATGCTTGTTCTCAGCTTCTGGCAGAGGTTATACCTCCCAGGCTGTCAGAAAGGGCACCATGCAGACTGCAATCCTTTAAGAGAAATAAAGCTCTCCTTTCCAAATGTATGAACTTCATGACTCCACATTGAAAAGACTATGTAGAAAACTGAACATGGACTGGGGACATTAAGAACATAGCTGGCCGGGCTCAGTGGTTCAGCCTGTAATTCCAGCACTTTGGGTGGCCAAGGTGAGTGGATTGCCTGAGCCCGCAGGTTTGAGACCCACCTGGGCAAGTTGGCGAGACCTCATCTCTACAAAAAATCAAAAATTAGCCAGGCATGGTAGTGCACGCCTGTAGTTCCGGCTACTTGGAAGGCTGAGGCAGAAGGATCATCTGAGCCCAGCAGGTCGAGGCTATGCTGGCCATGAGTGTACCACTGCACTCCAGCCTAAGCAACAGAATGGGGAGTGGGACTCCAACTCAAAAAAAAAAAAGAACATAGTTTAAGACCTAGGCAACACAGTAAGACCTCGTCTCTATAAAAAAAAATAAAAACATCAGCCAGGCTTAATGGTGTGTGCCTATAGTCCCAGCTACTCAGGAGGCTGAGGCAAAAGTGAGCTGTGAGCTGTGATCGTGCCACTGCACTCCAGCCTGGGCCACAGCATGAACTTAAAAAACTTAAAAACTAAAACACAAGCCGGGCTCGGTGGCTCAGCCTGTAATCCCAGTACTTTGGGAGGCTGAGGTGAGTGGATTGTCTGAGCCCACGGGTTCAAGACCCGCCTGGGCAACTTGGCAAGACCTCATCTCTACAATAAATCAAAAAAATTAGCCGGGCATGGTAGCACGCGCCTGTAGTTCCAGCTACTGGGAAGGCTGAGGTGGAAGGATCGCCGGAGCCCAGCAGGTCGAGGCTGCAGTGGCCAGGAGTGAGACTCCAACTCAAAAAAAATAAAAAAATAAAAAACATTCAGGCTTGGTAGTACCTGCAGTCTTAGCTGCTCGGGAAGCTGAGGTGGGAGGATCTGCTTTAGTCCAAGAGTTTGAGGCTCTAGTGAGATATGATCATACCACTGCACTCCACCCTAGGCTGCAGAATGAGACCCCCTTCTCTCTTTTATTTATTTATTTTTTTTGAGTTGGAGTCTCACTCTGTCGCCCAGGCTGGAATGCAGTGGCATGCTTACGGCCACCGAAGCCTCGACCTGCTGGGCTCAGATGATCCTTCCAGCTCAGCCTTCCAAGTGGCTACAGGCACACACAATGATGCCCGGCTAATTTTTTGGATTTATTATAGAGATGAGGTCTCACCAAGTTTCCCAGATTGGTCTCGAACCCATGGATTCAAGCAATCCTCTCACCCCTACCTCCCAAAGCGATGGATTATAGGCATAAGCCACCGCGCCCAGCCAAGATCCCTTTCTCTACAAAAAAAAAAAAATCGTTGATGTTAAGAAACCACTATTAATTTTGTTAATTATTGTTGGGAGCTGAATGGCAGCCACCTCAAAAGATATATCCACATCCTAATTCCAAGAACCTATAAATATTACTTTATATGGCTGAAGGCGTTCAGAAAATGCCACCCTAAAATATGATGTTTTATGTGATTACTTTGGACTGAGGACACTGGGGTACAGCAGATGCAAGCAGGGGTTTTCTCTGAGCTTCCCTTATCTGCCTAAAGATGAATCCTTCAAAATAAACTCAATTGTTATGAATCCTCTCCCAGAGTATCTTATAAACCAGGGAAGGTTAACTGGACACAGAAGAGCTTCAGGAGGGAATTAAGCCCTGCTGACACCTTGATTCAGATTTCTGGACTTCAGAACTGTGAGAGGATAATTTCCTGTTGTTGTTGTTTCTTTTCTTTTTTTTTTTTTGAGTTGGAGTCTCACTCTGTCACCCAGACTGGAGTGCAGTGGCTGCTCCTGGCCACCGCAGCCTCGACCTGCTGGGCTCTGGCGATCCTCAGCCTTCCAAGTAGCTGGAACCACAGGCACGCGCTACGACACCCAGCTAATTTTTTTATTTATTGTAGAGATGAGGTCTCACCAAGTTGCCCAGGTGGGTCTCGAACCCGTGGGCTCAGGCAATCTACTCTCCCAAGGCGCGGAATTACAGGCTGAGCCACTGAGTCTGGCTTTTTTTTTTTTTAAAC